AGGCACTGACGTAACAGATGGAGCAGGAGGGAGGGAAGCACCACAGGAGAGAGGAGGGGCTGCAGCCATGGAGGTACTGAGGCACACCGATGCTTTGTGAGGTGCCAAATGTACGGGCCAGGCCAGGAAACACATTCTTCTTTTCCCCCTTATGTCACCTGATTCTTCAAAAAGGCCTCCAGACAGTTATAAATGCATGCAAAATACAGACCTTTTGTTATATTTTTTTTATACAGCAAAACAAGGGAAACGGGGGAGGCAAAGGCATTGTTTGCAGTATTTCTTGAAGATCAAAAGGCTCGTGCTGCAGAGATATGGCTGATGTAATTTTTATCAGTGAGGATCCTCCTCTGCACCCATGACACTGGCCTCCCAATGCAGCTGAGGGGCAATAAGGACTGGAGTCTCCAGTTAATAGGTTGTCATGAGGAAATGGGACGTGACTATCCCAGCAAATGTCTAACGTTTTATGTAGCCTTCGCCGCTCTATCTATCCTTACAGTATTCCATCGTTATTTTACAAATAGTGTGTTGAAAAAGGTTAATGGGGATTATAACTGCCGCCTAGGCTGGAAGAACTATCCTGCCTGACTGCTTTAACATAAAACTATATTGGCATTTGTGATATCCTTTTATAACTCTAAATCTTTTACATAAACTCCACTATTGGGAATAGTTCCTGAACTGACTACTAAGCCCTCAATAAAGTTAACTAAATGCAGCAGAGGATAAATTTTACTCCATGGGGAAAAATAAATGTTGTAATTATCCAAAAATAATTAGCCAAAAAAAGGTTATGCCAGCATATAGTTCAAGATTTTGATGCACCATTGTCCCACAATGCACCAAGAACAGGTCGAGGAGGTTGCTAGGAGGAACATCTTAGGAGAACTGGCAAAATAATTTTTAATGTCCTCTTGCACATGGTTCATTTTGCTGCCTTTCTTATTATGCTTTTCACGTCGTCCACTTCCTGTCTCCTCCCTTCTCAGGAAGCTGTTCACTGTTACTCTAGGTTTTTCTCCGTACAAACTGTCATCCTGCATCTGAGGAACCTGCTGTTGCTAGCAGTCCTTCCTTCTACTGTTAAAAGCAGCCCCTCCAAAATTTCATAGTCCTTACAAGGGACTTCCTGTGTAATGTAATAGCATCGGAGATATTAGCAGTGGGTAACTGCCCACCTTGTAAATACCTCAACATACACCAGAGGAAAAAGGCAGCCATATGCTCTCCAGAAGATACTTCTCAACCATCCAGCAGCTTTTCATCAATTTAGGCTCCTCTCAGAAAACTGGTTTATTATGCACAATTGCAAAGCAAACTTTGAGAAGGGAGACAGAAGCACATTGGGAAGAGAAGTGTGACAGTGTTGCACTAGCACTGCTGTAAACTGTCCCACAGTTATTCACACAGCATTTACATTTTAAGTCCTCACTTAAAAACTGTATTTGAATCAGCAGAAGTGGTGCCAACACATTTTTATCATGGTAAAATGCCTCTTTCTGTAACAGCTGGCATTCTGTACTTCTGTGATCTAGGCTATGCAGTCACTCTTCAAAGGAATTCTGACTATGAAAGAAATAGGGAACACAAGAAAAGGCTTGGCTAAGAATAATTTGTTATGTAATTAGTACAATGATAAGAATAAATTAAAACCTGTATTCTGTCTAGCATGGTAGGCATAGGGATTCTTCTCATGTGTTTCCATTCCAATCTACTGGTTTTAATGGCTTGTATCTTTCAGGATTTTTCATATTTTTCATTTGTTTGAAAGCAGCTGTTTTATTTTGAGAAAGTCTGATGGGGAGAGAGAAGTTATTTTGATCAGACTGCATTTACAATAGTGATAGCACTTCAGAAATAAAATAGATAGCTCAAAGAGCTGTACTGATTTGGGAGAAAGTCCTTGATAAATCTGAGATTGAAAAAAAAAAGATTTGGCAAGTCAAAGTGTATTTTTAGGTGGTAGCAGGCTTTAGAATATGAGGATGTAGAACCCTTTGATCAGAATTGCTTTTAGTGGGAAATCCTTTCTTCTGTCACTGTCCCCTTCAAGGTAAAAGATAATGTTCTTGGTGGAAGCATTTAAAAAGGCAGACTTCAAAATAACTGCATATGAGTCATATACAATCCTTTCACAGTTACTGAATAGTAACTTCTGGATATTGGATCTAAAATAGTCATTTTGGAAGGTGTGCAGTGGTGTTAACCAGGTATTGAGTTTTATTTTCTGCTTAATTTTACTGCCCTTTGGAGCATACACTGACAGAGTTACATAGGGTAGTGTGGAGAGAACTCCCTGGCACCCTTCCCTCTGGCACGCCAGGGAGTTACTCCACCAGTCGATCTCCCGCTCACAGTCCCTGATGGCCCTCAGTCTCTCTACCTCATCTTTCAGCTCGGCCACCATGGTGAGCAGATCTTCCACCATCTTGCACCTCACGCAAGTGGAATGTTCAAGAATCAAGAGATAATGGCTTTCAGTTATTTAGCAGTGTCCTGTCACATCTGAAGTTGCCATTTTCAATTATTTCTTCAAGATTTTATTCTACGTCTATTAATAACTCATAGCCCCTTACATCTGTTCTCCATGTTATTGATGAGCTCCTCATTTTTATAAATGTAAAATCACTTGGTTTTTAATATCTACTTAAATGCATTTATCTTGAAGCCCTCAGAACTGGTGTTTCCTGTGGAAAAATAGTACTGCTTTCTTTCCAGATTAAGTTGGGATAGCAAGCATCTGTCAAGTCTCTTCACAGAATTTTCATTGTTTTGTAGTGGGGAGAGTTTAAAACAAGTAAATGCTTTGAAAGTGTACCGTTACTTTATCATTACTTCCCTAACTTTGAGAACTGGATTATTCAGATATGATCTGATTATTCAGATAGTAACTTACTATCTTCTTCCCATTACAGAGTACTCTCTACGCAGCAGAGCAGATCGCAATTGGTGAAGCCAATTTAACAAGTAAAGCAATATGGTTGCACTTTTCTTGTTGACTTGTCATATGTTGGCAAGAATCACTAACATTTATTTCTCAGAGCTCGTGAGTTCACTGCTGCTAGTAACATTTCAACTTATTTTCTTGGAGGAAGCTGCCCAGAAAAGCCACTGTAGTAAATCTTCTAACACCATCACCTTGTGAACTTAGCTTTTTCATTCTCTTGAACTAACCTAGATGGGAAGACAACAGCAGGTGACACCATGTACCAAACAGTGGCACCAACAGCTGAGCAGGTGGCATGCTGCTGGCAGAGCAGCTCACCTTTAGACTGGTACCAATGCCAAAGGTGTGCAGAAAGCCAGAGTGTTTACAAGTTCTGTGCAGTTGCTTGACAGGTGTTACTGTAAGCTGAGAAATCTGATTGTATTCTGAATTCAGGTATGGCAGTATAAGAAAATTGCTCTGCCTAGAGAAGATTAATAGTTGAACTACTTATTTTTGTATGGTCTTGCAGAAATTATCAACACAGAAATTGAGGAGCAGCATAGTTTCTTTTTTTTTCTTTCCCCCATTTAACAATTCTTACAATCTTGAGATGTTGTCACCTATGGGTGAAACCTTGGAATGCCACTTTAGCAGTAAAAATAGCAGTACCAAGTCTCTCTGGTGTCTCCTTGTCTTCACTTAAATGTTATTATTCATTCCAGAAAGTCAAAACACTGTTTCTAAAATCCTTTCAGTGGGTTTTTTAAGTGTCAGTGTTTGATGGAGATGGTTCACCACAACGCAATAGAATCAGTAATCTCCTTCCACAATTTCTGTAAGATTACCAAAACAGAGCTTTTTAGCCTTGGTTTTGGGTTTGCAGGTTTCTTTCAATTTTTTTTGTTCCCCACTCTTACTGCTCTTGGTGTACACTAATTCAATGTTCCCCTCTATTAAGAAATATGTAAAATATTGAGAGCCTTCCTGCTAGGAGTAACAGCCAGATCTTATTCCAGCCCCTGCAAGTTAGCAGACAATTGAAAAGTTGATTTTTTTCCTCTGAAGGAGGATCTATCTTCTGGCCACTCTTACACCCACGTATCTAAGCTATTAAAGAAGAAAAGCTATGTTAAAAAAATCTTCAGATTACTATAAGAAAGTCATCTAGATGTCAGAGAACTAAGGGAAAATATTTGTGCAGTGGGACACCTAATATACTGCAAATACAGTGTCTATGTTTAAGTCATTGGAGGAACAAGTCAAAGAGTCCTAAATCCCTTTGTTTGTGAATTTATGCATAATAGCAAAATTATGCAGCCTTGAATGTCACACAGAAAAAACCTCCAACTCTTGCAGCAAATAATTTAATTTACAAGGTTTTAACTGCTTGCTATGTTAAAGCTATTAGCTTCCCTAGTAGGGAATGGTAAGATGGCAATACTGAAGTTTATTTGAATAAAAATTAGGATTTTGATTAATTGAGCAATGGTTGGAAGCCACATTTACCATTTCTGCGACTGTCAAACAAATTATGGTAATTCTCCTGGTATTATGGTAATTAAAAACTGGCTATGCTTAATCTGGATTCCAGCATCCAGTGCTAGTGAACAACATTGATTACACTCCTTGTTACAAGTTTCAGAAAACAAAATAGAAATTCTGAGGGCTGTGTCTAGTCCCTGTACCCATTGCCAATAACCTAGTGAGCCAGTTCTCCAGCTACACTATTCATATTTTCAGAGCTTTGATAGTATTTTTTCACAACATATTGTTTACTATCTTAATTCTAGCTTTTTCTTCTAATCTCCAGTCTTCTGTTGCAGCTTCTTATATCTTACCTTCTGGTCTGTGGCCTTTACGTCTACTGAGATTACAAAAAAAATAAAGGGTCAGAAAAGGATGTTAAGAATAGGAAAAAAAAAAGAGATGGTAGTGGAGGGTGCTATATAAAATAAAATTAAGTTATATACATTATCAGCCATGTGATTCTCATAATAAATTGCTCCCCTTTGTTTCATGCATTCAGGTGATGTAGTCCCATGGAATTATTCAGACTTTCACCTAGCAGTGCAGTTTCAGTACTTTATTTTGAAAGTCTCTTAATAGCTAGTTTAAATCAAGTGAACAAATAAAATGTAAAGTGTTCTTTATTAAATAACTCAAAAGGTAAAGCAAATTGTGCGATTAAGAAAGACAACATCATGTTTCCAAAGGATTTTTACAGCAGAAAACAAATTGTGGCAAGTGATCATTTCAGTCTAGCAGCCAAATTGTCCTCATTTTTATGGAGTTAATTTCGGTCCTCAAATTGTGACTTGTTTTTTAAAAGATATGCTGCTAGAAATTCAATGGGATTTGGTGGTCTGTAAAGAAAAAAGTAAATCAAGAGCAATTTTTTTTTGTTATATGAAATTAAGTAACTGAAGAACTAATCCTTAAAATCCCTTAAAAGCAACATAACTCTTCCCAAACACTTGATTTAGGGATGACCAGCTACCTAGAGGTACCCTGTAACCATTTGATGAGAAAATTTTTAATAAGGAGTCTCAATCACAGTTGGCTCAATGTTACTAAATTGCTACAACAGTTACATACCTAGAACCAGGGCACAGTCTGTAAGCGTGAATACCGTATGTATAGCATTGGAAGTTACATGCATTTGCCTATTTCTTTAACTTATGCTATATAAAGTAAAAGTTAATCTGTTGGTGCTTTCTTATTTCATTTTCTTCAAATGGTAATTGTGTAGCTTTGTGCGTTAGAGCTGTTCTCATGGTTTCTAGCAACTGAAATGAATGCAACAAAATGTCAACAAAACCTTCAAGTTTGAGAAGTGCTGTAGTATCATGCAAGTAGTCAATAATAAACACTTTTGATCATTGGCCTTATTCTGTAAGTGTTTTTTTTATAAAAAAAATCTCCTTCAGCTACAGCGCGTGAATCCTGCTAATCTAGATTCTGTCTGCAGAATAAATGACAAACTTACTCACTCCACACTAGGTCAGACCAAAGCTCTGGCAGTGAGCAAATAAGCCTGTAAAGAGCATAAAAAATAGAAGTGCGCAGAGGTACTTCTCTGGACCATCCTTTTGCCTTCCAAGCATGTACCAGCTTTCTGAGCAAACACCTTTAATAGTCCTGAGTTAATTCCTCTATAACTTTGACCAGTTGCCCCTTGAACCCAAATAAAATCTTAGTGTCCTTGACCTGAGGCAAAAAATTATATAGCTTAATTATGCAACTTGTGAAGGATCACCCCCTTTTGTTCATTATGAATCTGCTACCTGCTTCACTTGATTTGATTACTGTGTCAGACGAGATAATAAACAATCTGTCCCAATTCATCACCTCTATGGTATTCATGATTTAACAGATTCCTAATATATTCTCTCACAGAAGTCTCTTTCCTAGGTATCATCTATCCAGTCACTCCGTATACAGATGGTATTCCACATACTTCTGACCACTTTGTCACTCTTCTTACTTTGTCACATTCTACCAGAATACAGGGGAATGCCAATTACACACAATATTAAAAATACAAGAACATTATAAATGTAAATAGGGACATTATGCTTGTTTTTACCCCTTCAATTTCTAAGTCCTACCATTCAGAATTTATTTTTGATTGAGCAATGCACTGACATTTTTTCACAAGGGTAATTGTCAACTCAGAATCTATCATTTTGTATTTATTACCCTCCTAGGTACATCATTTTCTGCTTATTCGTATTCAATCTTTCACTTTTTTGTCATAGTTTCAATTTTTCAGAGCAGGCTTCCATAGTTTCACATGGACTCTGTGAAGCTCCTGTGCAATTATTTACAATTAATCAACTTTAAAAAAACCCCAAACAGAAAACAAAACACAAAAAAACCCCAAACTATTCTGTAAAACTCAGTATCATTAACAAATTTTGTCAGCCACTTCTTCAAATTGTTATAAATTATCCTTTCCAGTATTCTAGTGTTAAGCACATTTCACCATGAAAATGATTTACTTCTACTCTTATCTCCCAATCAGTTCCTCATCCATATAAAGGCTTTTCCTTTAATCCCACAGCAACTAACTCTCTTTAAAAGCTTTTAGTAAATGACTGTGCCAAAAACCTTTTTGAAATTTAAGTAGACCATATCATCTGGATTCCTGCTTACATGTACTGATGTACTGGGCTGCTCCCTGAACATCGCTAAATTACTTAGAAAAATAAATTAGCATCCACTAGTTACTTTCCAGTTCAATTTTAAGCAGAAGATTATACAGCAGGGCTGGTAGTTCAGCTTTTTCACCCCTGAGGTTTTAGTATGTTAAACTGAATAGCCTATTCGACCTTGGCAGTTTGATACAGCCAGGTTTTTTTCCCTATATGCTCCCCAAGCTCTTCTATCAATGTTCCAGTTTCACTCCCATGAAGAACAGACTGTAAGTGTGGGCTATCCACCTCAGGCCGTGTTTTACATTCAGCCTGCAGCACAACTCCCACAGATGTCAACTGAAGATCTGTGCGCTGCTCAGGTGTACGCATGGGGTGTACCTTCCTAGATGCTCTTTTGCCTAATTTGCTGTCCGTACAATGCTCCTTTTGAGGTTAAGACACTATTGATGGTTGTTCTGGCTGTGGGTGCCGTAATGCGATTACGGTCATCCATACGAGCTTTTGGTAACGTTATTTTGACAAAACTGAGAAATGGTTATGTGCAGTATGACTCGCCAATCGTTTGGATACACCAAAAAGCTAGAAATTAATTTGGAAAAGATGAACAACTGTTTGCTATTATTGAAGAATACCCTTCTACACTGACTGATAAGAGATGCGGGGCACCTTGACAGCATAACCTTTACTCTAAGGATAAATTCTCAGTTTGCTTCTTACTGCGTTGACAGTACAGGGTCAGCCTCATCCTTTAGAAAGTGTTTTCATCTCCAACAAAGGTGCATGCCAGGCCCAATTTGTCTGTCTTTTAAATGGCAATCAGAATTCTTTATAATTCCACAGTACAAAAATCTCGTCCAAAACCAGAACAACTTCTTGCCTTGCTTGTATAAGATAAATTATGTGATAAAATTAATTTTAAAATACATTTTTCCCTCCAAAACCTTTGCAGTAGCATATCTCATTAGGAGATCACAAATTCAATAAATAACTCCTCTCCTGCCATAGGCACCTAAGTGAACAACACATGCTGCATGGTCAACAATAGTAATTCATAGGTTCACAAACCTGTTGTAATTACTTTCTTACAACTAGCAGACTAGCAAAACAATGTCTGTCAAGGTCTGAAATGGTGACATACCACCCAAGTTTGAGACCTACAATATTCTTAAGAACAGAAGGAGCACTGAAGTATCTTACCTCTCTTTTGCAAGAACCGCAAGTCCCTGTAGCAAGATAGGTACAACGGTCTGATCCAAGTAGGCACGTGTGGGTAGCGACTGAAGATCCACCTTCTGCTTTGATGTTTTCTCCGCATTTATTTTCTCATTTTCTACTATCCTCTGAAGTAGAAAAAAAAAAAGGGGAATAAGCATTAGTAGCAGCAGCCACATCTACTTTGAAGCGTGAGTGCAAAGAAAGTACCCATCTCTCCACAATTCACTGGAAATAAATTTTCTTAAAAGATGTAAAGGAGTTAAGTGTGTATTTTATTTGCACAAAAAATAATCCAGAGGAGCACTCTGTTAAATTCTTATATTTTAGGAAAACAGTGTTAGGAAGTCATAAGTTTTCTAACAACAGAAGACACCCAATGTCTATCATTTTTAATTCGGCTTTTACATTCACAGATTTAAATTCTACACCACTCAGACTGGAATGACTGCTAACAAGAGTGGTGTCAATTAAATGTATGCACGCACTTCTAACACAAAATGCTAAAAGCACAAGAAATTCACGTGAAGTCTGACAAAGGGAACGCTATTGAAGTCAAGCCTTTTGAGACCATGCTCTATTAAAGTACAGAGGGACTCTCTGAAGAAAACATATGCAAAATGCTTCCAGAAGCCTTTTGGTCAAAAAGTGCTGAATCACACCATTAACTGTAGTTAAAAAAGGATACGTTACCACGTATACAACGTGATACAGTTCTGCGGTGGAACTTGAGGCATACAAAGAAGCAGTTATCAGGGAGATGAATCACAAAGGACAGTCAAGAAAAGTACCTGCAAAAGCTTAGCTTAGAGTAGGAGCTTATAATGGAGGGAGACTGAAAGCATTTCTTTAATAAGGAATAGTAAATAAATGTCACAAAGTTATTATTCTAACCCACAGTGTTACCAACAGCGGAGAGAATGGATTGTGTCTCCTCTTTCTCAGAATAATAAAGATAGCTTGGATTATTCCAATCCAATTATTTCTATTGGCAAGAATATGAAAAGAATCCCCACCTTTGATACTTCTATAGAAATGACATCAACTCCTCTATTCTCTCCCCTGTAATAAAAGTCTGGCTGGCTTTTTGTGGCATAATATGGGATATAGCTAATAGATAGTGATAGAATAGATAACGATCATAGGATACTTCCAGAAAACCCCACCTTATTAAAAGGTTCATTATTTACTTCAGTGCCATTTAGTATAATGGAAGCAACACAACAGAAAATATATTAACAGCCAGTTATGCAAGGGACTAGTATCTGTTGGTTCAGTTTCCATCTAACTTTCTCGGGAACATTAAATTTGCTGAAGTTAGACTCAAGACTCAACATTTTCCCCCTTGATCAGGAATGTGACTTCCAATGTACTTTACAGCAACAAAATCTTTGTTACCTCTACATTTTCCGTGAGACCGTATTCAGCATGGGGATTTTCCGGAACCTGTAAAATAACACATGGTCGGCAAAGTGGAAACACTCCTTTCATGCCTGTAGCACGGCACACATAAAACATTTCTTGCAATACCTGCGGCTGGCCCTCCATAATCTGTTCTGCCTCCATGACTCAAAAAGTGGAATTTGCTGGACGTAATCTTGGAAAGCAATAAAAAAATCGGTCAGCAGGCTGAGTGAGTTGATGTTGCATCACTTGGTTGCTAAGGCACAATTCCTAGAGAGCAAACGGAGTGACTCCGGGCTCCCCCCCCCGCGCCGCCAAACCCGGGCACACGGATCTGAAGGTTCGCGTTACATCCGCTGAAGAAAACAGTACCGGGACTAGAAAATACGACATTCGTTATTTACCACCCGAGTCCCCAGGGACGGCCCGCTCCCCTGCCCGGCCGGGA